CTCAGAATAATCATCAATTACCTATCATGGGGAATTATTTCTTGGGTAACACACAACGTTTAATTCCAGAGTTAACTTTCTTTTTCATGAAAGTCAGCAGACTTTTGAGGTCAGCAATCCTAACTATTTGATTGGAGAAAACCCTTGTCAAATAAAACACGGTGTCAGCGATTCCCATTCTAAAGTTAGGCAGAGTGATTAGCAGGATGTATAAGAGGACCAGGGTCATAAGTATAACTTACATAGGTAGCGTTGTTATTTTATCATCAGGATATTCCCACTCCCCCACTATTGTAGATTCCAGGCTTATTTTGGCGGGACTATTTCTAAATAGTTAAATTTTGACGGTAATTTGTCAATCTTTATTTAAAATATGAAATTAAAGTACCTACTTAATAAAATTCAGTAACTAAAAAATTTGATTATGAATGTTTACATTGATGTATTAAATGTTTTGCAGATGGAGACTATATTTTGTCGCGTAATGTAGTCTAAACATGCTAGTAGTAAATGTATCCATATCAAGTATTCGAGTCAGTGTGGCTAATGTTTTGATATCAAAATATTAGTCACACTCGTTAGATATATTAAGTATTACTGAAGATGCTATTAAATATCTTCTATATATTTAGTGGTAACTAGGTGACCCTTTGTAGTGACCTTCACATCTTATGTTAATGGTCATTCGACATCATGTGCTATGTGGCGGTGATACAAAGTTGTCCTTTAGTATACTTTAGTGATCGTTAGATTATATGTGCAGACATTTTAATATATTAAATATCATCAGCAGCGATGTAGTGGTAATTCAGTATCATATGTAAGGGTTATTATCTACTTCTGTAGAAATATTATAGATCTGTACTGGCGCTGCTGGTACTGTTAGGTCGGAAGGTGGCAACCTTTAAAAGTGGTATACTTAAAATAGTCATATATGTGTTATAGAAAATCGCATTTACCTTTATTTCAAATTGCTAGATTTTTTGAAATAGCGTAAAACGTTTATTAAGCAGTTTGTTACTGTTTTCCATGTTGGTTGATAAGGCTTGGTATCAGCGTGTGTTTGTTTGTTAGATTCCAGTCCTTGACCGGGACGTTTGTCTCTTGCCTGTCCTCATCTCCCTCCTCCTGGTGGTTCCTTCTCCTGGCGGTCCCTCCTCTTGGCGGTCCCTCCTCCTGGACCGCCTCCTCCTGGCGGTCCCTCCTCCTGGCGGTCCCTCCTGCAGCAGTTTGGGTCATAGGATCAGCCACATTAATAGCGTGCCTGTAATAAATACATATATAGAATCATTTCGCATTTCAAACACCGTATCCATGGCGTAGCTAAACATTTGTCAGGTGTCTTACGGATCGTCGTTCATCACCTGTTCACTGTTATAGAGATTTTATGTTTGATAAGTATTTCAATTCATTGACTTTATAGACAACAATTTATGGATGAAGTGGGAATTATATCGACTTTTTTGCCTTATATGCTTTGATGTATATTGACCAATGCTTCTCATATTTAACTCACTAGGACTTTTATCACATGTAGTCGACATACAAATATACAAGATTCAGATAAGGCTGTAGCATATCGTAGATAATAATGAATTATCGGAATGTCAAAATATCGGGATGTCAAAATATCGGGACGTCAAAAAATCGGGATGTCAACACATGTTACGCATGAAATAATAACGTTGTTGAGTAACGTTTGTATTTAAATGTCACACAAAGCTTAACATCTCATCCTGCATTTAAGATGCTAGGATACATATTACCTATCTGCTGATAGGGCAAATTGTAAAACAAGAGACCGAATATATAATATGCAATATATATATATTGAACAAAATAAGAAACGCACAATTAAATCATGCAATCAATAGCCTATGATAATTTGGAAAATTTGTACAAAATTGTATATCAATATGAAGGGACAAGTCTACTCTTTACAATACTGTAGAAGAAAAGTATGTGTGATGCCACTCGTGTCATCAGTAGTTACTCAAAGGGGGTTACCCGCGAAAACAAAATGACACTTCAGTACCTGGTGTGGGCACCTTTTGCACGAATCTCTGCACGGATTCTCCTATGCTTTGAATTCATGAGAACATTTATTCGCCTTAAGGGAATGTTGTTCCATTCTTGTGTTAATGCTGCGATCTTTGACGTTTCCTAATACGCCTGTCCAGCTCATCCCACAGATGCTCAAAGGGAGACATGTCAGGGCTATATGGGGACCATTCCAGAGGCTAAACGTTGTATGCCGTGAGGAAATCACGACATACTTTGGCAACATGCGGTCGAGCATTGTCTTGCTGGAAATTAGGTTATGACGTCTGAGAAATGGAAGGACATGTGGTTTGAGGATCTGGTCTCTGTATCGAACTGCATTGAGGTTTTGATCCAGGACCACTAAGGGGGATTTTACTCCATGGGAGATGCCTCCAAAAACTATCACAGAAGCCCCACCGAATCTATCGCATTCAACCACGCATGCGTCGGCGAAACGCTCACCGCGTCTGCGATATACCCTTTTTCTTCCTTCTGAGCGATACAGACAGAATCTAGACTCGTCGGTGAACATCACACGCCTCCATCGACGCGTCCCAAATCTATTCGGGCCATGTCTGCGCATCCAGTCAAGACGCACTTGCCGACTCCGTGGTGTCAGAGGTGGCCCGACACAAGGTCGGCGCGCAATGATTCTCTCGACACGCAAGCGGTTCCTGGCAGTTTGAGGACTAATGGGTCTGCCATGAGTACCTAAGGTATGCGACGCAGTCTCTACAGCAGTCTTATATCTGTTGCGCAAGTGGGACAATCGAATCGCCCTGTCTTGTCGTGCGGTGCGTTTCTTTTTTTTTGTTCAGTATATCATATTACATATAATATATAATATAGCATTGGCTTAGGCTTACCTTAGTATTGCAGATCATTAAATTCATATTTAAGAGTTTAATTAAAACTACAACTTATTAAAACATATATGACTTATATCAGGTGCCACAGCATACAATCTCAGATATATTTATGAGACTCCATCCTTTCGCAACTAACCAGCGGAATTCGTTTAAACTTTCACATAATGGCTATGAACTATCTAGAGGTAATTTTATGAAAATCTAAGCATTCCAATAGACTTCGAAAAAAAAGGTTTTTGTCAGTTTTAATATTTTTCTTTTATTTGGTGTGTGGCATTGTTCGGAACAATAACACATTAAAAAATTAATGAAAAGAAGCATTGCTGATTAACCCTTCAAATATTTTATTTAGCACAAAATATTTAAAACACGTTAGACAAAGTGTTTTTATTTAAATTGTATAAATAAAAGTGATTGTCTACGAGCGAAAAGCAATCAGAACACACAGTTTCATACAAAAATAGTGGAAAATTGAACAAAATTTCTCCCACACCTGACAGATTTATCTCCCGTTTTGCCGGTGCTAGTTTTATCTGTCTCCGCCCTAGGGCTGAGACGGGGGGATTTCCCTATTCATAACAATGGCATGACGTCACTTCAACAATACAATGACGTCACGTCAACACTCCATCAACAAATTGCCTGTATGTGTTTTGGGTCCATGTTTACCTTTATTTCACATTAAATTCTGTTAGATATGGGAGAAAAATAATCAATCGCTACTGGTTGTGTAAGATAGAGAAATCTCAACCCTCGGACTAAGATTTTTTGTCCAGAACTCGGCAAGCCTCGTTCTGGACAAAAAATCTTAGTCCTCGGGTTGAGATTTCTCTATTTACACAACCAGTAGCGATAGAATCTATTAATACACAATGGCTTCCTTGAAAAAAATCGGAACTTTTTGCAGAGGGATACAATTTACACAATGACAGTTACCTCTTTTAAAAAATATAAAAAAAATGATGGAAATAATTAAAATTATGATATCAAAAGTGACATTTTTTTGTTCTTTTATGATACCAAATTACTCTGAATCGTGTATACTTTGGACATCATTCCACAGCCCGCTATATCTACATGTCGGGTACATGTGTAACCAGAGGCTATTGCATGGTATGCCGTTCTCACGTGCACCCACATATGCATTGTCACAGGGTTCATAACATTTTCATTTATAAAAGCGATTTGCCCGACAGAGCGTTACTCACCTGACAGCGAAAATCGTAATTACCTTGACTCTATAGCTTGTGAAGTACGTGATATGTACATATGAGGTCGGTACACAAATAAATCGGTCAGCATTCCATGCGCTTCATATATGACCTTCTTGAAGTTGTCTGGTCTCATGTCAGTGTCTTTCAGCAAGTCTGATTATGTTTTTGTATAGGAATCTTTATTTCTGAAGTACGTGTGATTTCACATTTCCCAGTGAAGTATCGATATTGGGTGTTAACATATCGTCACGCACGCGTACTCTTGTTTACCCAGTGTTACTATCATTTACACTACGTACGGTATTGAAATGCCCGATACGCAATACGGAAATGAAGGCACGAAAATACAAGAAAAACATGTGTATAACGAAAGGTTGGAAATCCTTAAGATAACATGTTCTCGAAACATTGCTATGTTAGAGTGTTTATTGCCCTGTGATTTAAAAAAAAGTATGAATTAAGATTTTAACATTGGCGCATTCAGTAACGGTTAATTTATCTCCATATCATCATTGCCGTGCTGGTGAAATACCAGCTTTGTCCTCCTGACATTTTGTCACGGGGAACTCATTCGGCGTCGGATAACACCAAATGTCCCAGGTGAAATCAAATTACCACTGCTTCAACTATTTTGAATATGTACAATGCTTGCAGGGTGCATGCAAAGACTACAACGACTATGGTCACTATCATAATTTTATATAAAGCGTTGCGGAAAAGTCGTTTAAATGTGTGTCCAGACGATGTTACCTATTCGTTTACCTGTGGTCACGTACAGACAAGTGTACACTGTAACATACCCTATACGCTATGTTAGATATTAAATGAAATTATTTTTGAGATGACCCCTGCTTTTGCTTCTCTAGGTCTCGGTCTCTGCGCTCAGTGCTAGGTCTACCTCAAGATGAGAAATGTTTTATAATAAGGACGACACAGAGACGACAGGTATCAGGTGTTACACCACACACCATGACGCCTACAAGTAACGTATGCAACAAACTTCAGAAAAACGAAGGACACCGGGACGGTTAAGATGTAGCCGCCATTTAAACTCAGTAACAAACGTTTCCTCTTCCAGATATTTGATGATGAACAGTTAAAACATGGCTGTTAATGTTCTCGGTTTGGTGGTTATAGTGGTATTTTATGTTATTATTCTTATTATTGGTATTGTTGCTGGACGTAAGAGCACCAAATCCAACAATCCCGACGAACTGTTCATTGCCAATAGAAGCTTTGGTCTGTTTGTGGCCAGTTTTACCACAGCTGGTAAGTACTGCAACATTATTCGACAAACTGTATATCTTCCCCGACAGGCGATAATAAGTTTGGTGTCTTAAAGAAATATTGATTTGTTTGCCTTTCTGCAACAACTAACTACTTAGTTTTGTGTGTGTTTAACATCCTCTTATCAGCTATGACCATTTAAGGACGTTTGGACCTTTTACTGATCAACATGTTTAGTAATATTACCATTCTACAGGTACACAGGTAGGGCGGCTTTATCAATGGAATAGCTGATCAAAATGTTTGGTATTACTACTATTCTACAGCTACACAGGTCGGGGGTGGCTATATCAATGGAACAGCTGAGGCTATGGGCAGAGACGGATTGGTCTGGGCTTTACTAGGACCTGTCGGATATAACATTGGCATGGCTATGGGTAAGACAAATTACAGTCAGCACTCACCTTACCTTCATATAGATGCATAGCTTATGTGTACAATCAGACGATTTGTAACATCAATACAACGCTAAAGATACCAGTATCGAATATTTGGTAAATTATTCGTGTCGTTCGATAGTCTGTGATTGGCGCGGTATTTCTGAAAGGTTGGAGCCATTCTTTCATCAAAATGCGTGTGTACCCTTTTCCCCCATTTAGAGGTCCAAAACCTGTAAAATCATTATATCTAAAATGCATATCTTTATTTCCATACAACTACACTTGTTTGATGCTTTGTGCTAAACAGAAGAGAGCAGTTGTGATATTGTTGAAGTTAAATGTTCTACAATAACAAGTTATTCTGAAATTGTCGAAGTTATGTGTTATAAAAATGAGGGCCAACTCTAATATTGATCAAGTTAGAAACAACCGCAGACTTCATACTCACATTGGTTGAATGTGTTTAAAGCATTTAAAGCAGCGAAGACTGTAATTGACATATGTTTAAAATCTAAAAAAACAAATGAAACGAAAACCAGCAAGTGAAGCCATATTGTTTTTAATACAATCAAATATTTGTCAACATCCTACCAAGAATGACCGGTGTCAGGGCGGCGAATGTGACCCAGTGTTCAAAGAAAGATAAGTCGAATACGCTTAGAATGTTACGACGGCCTATACAAACGGTACATTGGGTATTTAAAGTATGTTCTTTTAACGTTATATGAGTTGAAAAAAAAAATTAAATTGCTTAAACTTTATCAATCTTTCAATATCTTGATCAATATTTTATTTTTTAGATTATTTTTTTAACAAAATCCATTACATATTTTTACGTCTGAATTGGTTTGCTGGATGGATTTTTATTTCTTCCACTTTTGCGCAAGGGTCAGAATGAATAAACTGTTTTCCAGCAGGAATATGATATCAGTGTACAGACGATGTTCGTACTTCTATCCTCCTGAGGGGTCACGCAGGTTACATGTTCATGCGGAATAGTTTCATAAAATATCAACTCCGAAAATTGCACCGCTCCACAAATCAATGCTTTGTAACAAAAGAAGGCAACTGAACTGGTATTGCTGACGTTATTTGTTAGGCAGAAAAAGATATATATCTGATATTTATATTTTTTATGAACAGAAATGATTAATTGTCCGACAGAAATATCACCATAATTGAAGTATATCTTAATAAATTGAACAAGATGCGCATGATTTAGTGTCTACCCCTGTTACTAGTTACACAGGTTATTATTGCTTTATAAATTTATCGTCATATATGTCTATTTCTCTAGCTGGAATAATAATCGCCCCGAAGGTCCGCAGTATGAAATACTCCACCATCTTTGATCCTTTCCAGCAAAAATACGGAAACAAAATGGGAGGACTTCTCTTCTTTCCTGAGTTGTTTGGAGACCTGTTCTGGGAGGCTGCCATTTTAGGAGCTTTAGGTACACTGTGTTTGGGTTATTATGTTTGAATTGATATTTCGATGAAAACTATTTGCATATCTTTATGGTGGCGCAATCTGTGAAATCATGAGTGAAAGAAAATGAAATATTTTGTTAAAATCACATCACCACAATACCATCGTTTTCCCCCTTTTTAATTGAATTTCTAATAAAATGTTTCCAGGCACGACGCTATCTATAGTACTGGGCCTGGATATGACCATGTCCGTGATCGTGTCGACCTGTGTGGCGGTCGGCTATACCTTATTCGGGGGCCTCTACGCAGTGGCTTACACTGACGTCATCCAGCTCTTCTTCATTGCAGTTGGCTTGGTAGGGTTTTATTATTTGAACTACCTTGATTATTTTTGAGTGTCGTGTGCAATCTGTAGAAATTTGTCTTTTATAATAGCCTTCTTCAGCCTTAATAAAAGGGGACATGCCGAGTGGAGGAAATTACGTCAGTTTAATGGATGACATAGGCAGTGTGTAAAGTTCTTTATTCTAGTTCCGGTTGGGGAAAATGTTAAGGCCAAAATAAAAACGATGTGTATGTGTAACATCTTATTGATAAAGATATTTCATCTGTTCATCGTAATCTTCAATAAATGGAGGGTTGCCCTTTTTCTGTAATTTTCGAGCAGGTAGCTGATTCCAATAACCAAGCACCCAATCATGGAAATATTACTCATATTTTCCGGGACCCGCATTTTGCTAACAAGCAAATTACAGTGTTGGTTTCCATACAGGATCAGTCACAATAAAGCTTCCATATAAGATCAGTCACAATAAAGCTTCCATATAAGATCAGTCACATTACACCTTCCATACAAGATCAGTCACAATAAACCTTTCATATAAGATCAGTCACAATAAAAGTTGGAATAGTTAGTTTTTTCTATGACTAAATAATTGGTCATTGTATCTTAAATTGTTGGTGACCCACATTCTATCCTTGATTTGAGGGGGACATCATGAAGGCGTCGTTTCCTTTTGGATCACTTGGTTTCTCGTTCGCGTCTTGGGAGAACTTGGTATTTATCGTTACTTTGACATATTTTGATTGGAGTTAAGGTTATACGGGTATTTCGTTGCTATAGTGTGATATCTTTTTTACTTTGATAAGAAGTCAGTGTGCTTATATTGTTTCTTAAACACTGGAAGCATGACTATTTGTGAATAGTTTTATATTTCTTCAGGTGCTGGCGATACCTTTTTCTATAATGAATCCTGCGGTGGATATGTCTCGTATCCAGGACACATGGACTGGCCACATGGAACCAGAACTCATTGGACTGTACATTGATACAGCATTAATGCTTATCATGGGGGGAATGCCTTGGCAGGTGAGTGAGAACTAAATAAGAGTACAAAGTGTTGAGTTTGATAAACATAAAACAAAAAATAGTGTATTACAGAAGTCATTTTGGTCCCATTAAAGCTCAAGTAGTAATAACCAAACGGTGAATTACCTGTAAATTTTTAACATTTCATTATAACGTAAAACTGCCTTTCTTGCTCAAGAGGGGATAATTTGACTATGTTTCCTGCTAACTTGGTTTCGTAGGCGCTGTACCAACGCGTGCTTGCCTGTAAGAGTCCAAAGATAGCCCGGAATGCGTGTGTAATGGCAGCATGTATCTCCCTACTGCTAGCCCTACCTCCCACAGCTGTGGGGGCCATAGGATCCGCCGCAGGTATGGCTAACCTAAACAGTTCTCAAAGGTGACAAATCTTCTAACGTTATTTTCTTTTTTTCAAAGTTCACTGAGGAAAATAATTACAATTACAATTATTTCATAACAAACATCATGCTTAACAAATCGCTTATTCCTTCACATTTTCACAACAAACAGTTCAATAACATTATCCCAATCCATGGTTTAATGAAACAAATAACAATCCACGGTATAATCAAAATATTACAACCATTGGTTTGATTAATATAGTATAATCAATTAATGTATCCAATCACTCCTTTCAACAATTCAATGAAAACGTTTTGAACAGCTTGATCAATGATTAATTCAGTTGCTAGTTCCCAGGTAACGATAACGATAATTACCGCGACATTTTAGTACTTTTTCTAATTTCAGCAGGTTACCATATAACAAAATGATCGCAGAGCATATGTAACAACTTAGTTTACAGAAGCATCAATCAGCGCCATCATAAAATAACGTAATAGTTAAAGCACAAAAAGCGCTAAATTAAGATTATTACCGCTAAAATATGTACATTGACGGAATACGTGATCGTAAAACCTGTTTCCTGTTATGACACATGTTTATGTCACGCATAGATATTATCCGCGTTATAAACTCTATTGTAACCCTATTACTACTGTTTAAGTATCGTTGTACCTATGTATGCTATATCAAACGATCTGGTGATATTGTTTGACATAGATTGTATGTTTTATGACAGATGAACTTAATCTCTGATGTTAACAGAAATAAACTGAAAACAGTTCAACTGTATATTGTTTGTCGTCGTTTTAACAAAGCGTTGGGATATATCCCTGTAGGTTGACAATAGAGGCAACATTCCCGAAAATTGCAGGGTTTGTAAATTTAATTTCCAAGTTTTAGTGAACTACGAAGGTAACCGGCAACACCATAGTATTTTCATAGTTTATCATAAAACTTTCATAAAAGCATGTAAAATGTGATAGAAATATCCAGTATGTATCTTATAAGACTATCAAAACATTATAAAATATTAACTACTCACTGTAAAATGTTTATAACATCTTAATTTAGTATGTAAACAATATGATTATTTCCCAATAAGAACAATATGTGTATTTACTATGTTTGCAGTGTTGATAGATATACATTTAGCATACAATTGCGATATTGAATAGCATATCTCACAATGTAAAAATATTGGTAATAGATTTAATCCACTAAGTCGAAAATAGTTTGAAATGCTAACAATAACAATATGTTACAGTATGAACAATAGACTGTTGAAAAATCTGTTTAAGATTGGAACGCCACTGAATATCCGGGAAATGTGCCGCTTGACTACAAACAGTGGGCTCACATTTTCCCCATGGTACTTCAGTACCTCTGCCCAACAGCGGTCTCCATCATTGGTATAGGAGCCGTCTCGGCAGCAGTCATGTCTTCTGCAGACTCGTGTGTTTTAGCTACTGGAAGTGTGTTCGCAAATAATGTATACAAAAATATATTTCGACCCAAGGTATATATGACTTTTAACAATGTCTTGCAAAATGAATAAACTTATGTTTAGGGTTTTTTGCATGCAAATTCATAAAAGAACATGCATTAGAACATGTTTCGTAATCAAAACTTTTATTGGCATTTAACATGTTACAATTTTTTAAGTATATGATAAAATTGTGTTTAACATGCCATCAAAAATTGTTTTGCAAGACAAAAGGATGGTATCAACTTATATGCTATATTTTGCTGTTAAAATATTTTCAAACTGACAAAATATTTTTCAACATAATATAAATGATGATAAGGATTCGGGGAAACACTCACACAGCTAATGTAGATGTTATGATGAAAAATATTGATTCAAAACTAAAATGGTTGTGAAGAGATTTCAACACATTGTACATGTCTGACAGCTAAGCATATCTAGACAAGCTAGTTAATGACTTGTGACCAGTTATTCTTGAGACGAAGTCTTTAAGGATTTTGATCATTTGACTCAATGACAACATCAATAAATTTAGCAAAAATAAAGCCCTCCACTAAACAGGTTAAAGACAAATTAAAATAACTATATTTAGAAGAAGTTGCTAAAAGACAATTACCACAATTGACACCTGGGCTTTGAATTTTGGTCAATATTACTAAGACGTTCATTCAAGCGAAGAACAATTAAAATAGAATTACTCTAAGTTTAAATTATTTGATATCATTTGAAGTGTTCACTGCATTTGACACATTTGGCCTTGAAAGCGGCTTGAGGTATTTTGTGTGAACACATTTAAAGTCATTTTCCGCAGAATGCTGCGCTATCGAATTCCAAATTTTGATTAATTTATCAATTATTTATTTATTGACGTATTATCATTTCCGTTGTTGCAGGTAACTTTACAAATGTGAAAAATCGAATAGTTTATTGTTCTCCAGTACAATGATTACATTTCAGGGCAGAATGTACCGATATTCGTGCTTTGCATTTGTGAAGTATAATTATAATATACTTACATGTGAAATATATATTATATTTAACAGAAAATTGAAAGCTTGAATTAAGAGAAGTGATATAGTTACATCATTATATTGACTATGTACAAATGTGACAACTATCGCCATACTTCTGGTACAAGAAGTGATGATAGAATGACCCTGGGAATTGAGAGAGAAAGGAAACATAATAGATTAATATATTCCTGTAGTCGTATACTCGTGAACCATTATATGAAAACAGTGTTCAAATGTTAATGGTACGTGGAAAGGTTAAAATGCACGTCATTTTATATATTCAAAAATATTGTTTTTTTGCTAAGGTTGAAAGTTGCTAAGTGCAGTGTACGTGATATTGTGTTGCCGACCCGTTATTTCTTTTCTTGTGGCATTTTTTAAGTTTGGAAATGTTTCATTAATATCTAATACTTATAATCTTCAATGATCGGTTAGGTTTACCTTGACACTTTCATAAACGAAATTTGTATGTTCCAGGCAAGTCAGAGAGAAATAGTATGGGTACTTCGCCTGACGATAGTCGTTGTTGGTACCGTTGGAGCGGCCATTGCCCTCACAGTCGGCAGTGTGTACGGACTATTCATAATGTGCGCTGACCTGATGTACGTCATACAGTTTCCTCAGCTTGTCTGTGTTCTATGGGTCAAGTGTGCGAATACATACGGCAGCCTTACTGGCTTCGTCATCGGTCTTTTCCTCCGAGTGGCGGGAGGGGAACCGTTCCTCAAGATAGCTCCATTGATCCAGTATCCCATGTACCACGAAGAATACGGACAGCTCTTCCCTTTCAAAACTGTGTCAATGCTTTGTTCCCTGTTCACGATTTGCGTTGTGTCGTACATAACAGAGCGACTGTTCACCCAAGGGACGCTATCCATGAAATTCGACATCTTCCATTGCTATAAAGACGCGGACGAGGAAGAGAAAAAAGATGACGACGGAGATATTGAAAAGAAAGAACCTTTTATAGCACCGGTAGAGCCAGACCATTTTGAATTACATCAAGTAAATCAACGGACGCCAATTAATTCGTTTTGAACATATGAACTTATATCATTATCATTAATGTCAACGTTTAGTTATTAACCATATAATTGCGTAACACTCGGTGAAGAATAATTAGCAAGACAACAGATATTATTTATACAACCTTTAATATGTATTTTCCCCACCCCAAACACATCTCTTTGTGGTTGAACCTCTGAGAAGGATATATGTCTATAACCTAGTACACGGAGACGCTACATGCACTGAAATAAAAGCGGAAGCTGGGCTCGCTATCCAGTGGTTGTTTTAACTAACACAGAAATATTGAGGAAGCTGTTATAAGAGAAAATCCAAATGTAATCTAGCGTGATATATTTGACTTTGTCTTGATCCCACATTAGTACATTGCCTAGGAAGAACTTCTTTGGGAATATGAATCAAAACATAAATATGTTTGATTTGATAAATAATGCCTCATAGTCTAAATTGATGCATAAGAAAGAACTGGCAACGCCGTAATGCACCTACATATCAAACTGGTTTCTCCCCCTCCCCCCATATCTGTAACCTTTACAATGGTTAATGATGCTTCCGTTGGAAAAAAGTTTAAGAAATGTATAAGAATCTTCATAGAGACTGCTACTGCTCTCAATATTTATTTTAACCAGATGTCTGCCCGACTTACGTTCTTTTATCAATAAAAAAAGTCCCGTGATTTTTTGTATAACAACTGGTTATAAAACACACTTTAGTTACTCTGTGACCATTTTATGAAACAATTAACTAATACTCTTACTGCATATTTTACCCAGTTCAGGATATATAAGACCCCATATACGTGTCAGAATATGTATATGTAATATCATTGATTTTACATCTATGTCAATGATTTATTATAACACGGCTATTTTGTAAATATGGTTTGAATCTAAATATGTAACACGGTCTTAATAAAAGAATCTATTATAATAATTAAATTGTCAGCTCTTTTTCAAAAAATCACAATTTAGATAAAAACGTCAATTTTTGGAAATCAAACATTACTTGTGAAGCATTCACCTTGAAACGTTTGAAGATGAATGCAATAATCCTTATTGAAGAATGTTTGTTTCCTTTGAAAACATTTGCTATGTAATTAAATGTTATTCATTAATAAGTTAATATTGCTTGTAGTCCAAGCATTTTCATTGGCTTAAACATTTATGTTATCAACCCAAAACTTAAAAACTTATTGATGTCGCCGTTTGTAACGTCGCTTTTGATTTGCTGATACAGCGGCGTAATAATTTCGAAGAGAAAAGAGTCCATTAATAAAAGTGAATTTTCACAGGGATTGTGTATGGTGTATATTTCCTATATTTGGAACTCCCAATGAATAACCCTGTAACTGCCCGATAGAAAAAGAGCCTCAGTCGTAATGCAATATATCATGTATAATGTTTGTGTCAAAAATCTATTTCTTTTCGATATAATTTCTCGAGAATATACATGAATAGTGCTATTTAAAGACATGTGTCATTTCATAAATAACGAAAATGTTTTTATGACATAATCATTCAGGGGTGCAGTGAGCGTAGTCGAGGATGCAAAACTTCATAACACACGAAGAAATGAAATTTCCCCTATGAGACTAATAGAATCTTTCCCTACCTTGAGGGTGTGACAGAGAAATCTCCAACCCGAGGGGTGGTGTTTTTTTGGTTGTCTAACTCGAGGCTCTGACGAGGGTTAGACTACAAAAAAATCACCCGAGATTTCACTGTAAGACCCTGAAGGTAGGGGATGATTCTTTTTCTCCCATCCTATATTTTCAGTCACAGCTCCACCGATAGTAGTCTGCCATGTTTGTAAACAAAAACACATGTGGGGTATGCATATTGTCATTCACTTTTGATGACGCATTTTAATGACGTCAAAATTGAACACATGCTAAACGGTACGAGGCTTTCTCCCCCTAGGGGTGACAAGCTGATCATTCCCGGCTAAAACGGGAGACACACCTGTGAAGGATGGAAGAAAATTATATCTTTTCATCTACAAGCATCTTTTGAAACCTTTTGTCGTCGAAATATATCAGTAAAATCACGACATCCGGAGCAGGCTCTTTAGTAACGAATCAACTTGGGCATTAAAACACCGTTAGGAATGCAGGGTTGTTTCCGATCGCAAAACCGGATCCGTTCAACTGAGTGTAAAGCTTAGTGATAAGCTTTCTCTGATGGTCATGTTGTAAGTTAAGTTTCAGGAAAGTGGCTGAAGTAACAGATTATGCACTATCCTAGTTTTGTTTTTAATTTAATGACAGCACAGCAAGATACTTTACTTCACTTGTTCCAGTCTACTCATCTGTAAATGAGTACGCGGTTGGGTAGTGCTAGAATTGTAGAATGCTTGCTGTGAACGCCGAAAGGCAGCACTGGCTGTATGCTCCCCAGGGAGTTGATACAGATATTGGCTGGTTGCAAATGCCCTATAACCACGGATAATAATTTGTGAAGGGCTTTGAGTCGACCTACGAACTAGTTTGTGCTATAGCGGTATATAAGAACTTTATTATTAAACATTTCCAACATATTCAATCATCTGACCTAATTGCCAGACCCCCGTCCCCATCCCCCACAACCACCACTCATTTAAAATGCCTGCAAAGTCCGTCCCTGTCTATCTAATTCAGTGAGCTACGGCTTTACGGTAGTCATGTCCCTGAAATAAAGAATAATCAACGAATCAATGAATCAATGAATCAATAATCTACGAAAATTCAATGATGGTCCGAAATTACCGGCATATTGTTGCATAGTGAGCTGTTTTAGCGTTATAGATTCGAAACACATGTACTTTGCATTCTCAATCAAATTTTCAAAAGCTAGCAAAGTAAATGTTCAATTTAAAACAAACTAAGTATTTATTATTCATACTTAACTAATGATCTCATTCTGAATGGTTACAGAGTAACCTATATCGTTATGATCATACTGTATGAAGGGGTTCCTAGAGTTACATATATTGTTACGTTTTTACAAATTAGAGGCTTGGTAGCCGATATTACCATGTTCATAAATTTAAACGGGTTTTAAAAATGTGTTACATTTGTCATTATAGAGACGACCGCAGAGGATATCATTATAGAGACCAGACGGAGAGATTGTCATTATTGGTACCAGACGAAGCTATTGTAACTATCGGGACAAGGTGTAGAGGTTTCGGGATCGGGACCTGATGGAGAGGTTGTCATTAAAGGGTTAAGGGCAACAACAATAAGCTACTGAATACTTTTTGCTCTAATTGAGTAAGTTGAATAAGTTTGGTGTCGCGAAGCAATTATAAATGTAAGAAATATTTATGCCATGCTGCTTGTTCACATGGAATGACGTCAAGACTGCAAGCTTGTACACTAGACAACAAAACTACTCAACAACAATTGTGATTGTAATGGCTGTTTATTATAACGACATTATATAACAACATTACACAACTGCATATGACTTTACATAATGTTTAGCAATAAAACAGTACATATAACAGTACATAGCATTACGTATTTGCCAAGGTAATTTAAAACAAGTTTGACTTTTGTAGTTGAGGGTATATATGGCCTCACCGTTACATAATGATTAAACCCTCTTAACAAATAGAGGTATAACAATGAACGTGACTAAAAATACAAATTGATAACAAAATACTGAAGAGAACAATTATCATCAAGAGCAAAGGAAATGTAAAAATGAATTACTTAGAAATACCACATAATTTCACCCTAGTGGAGAAAGGGGAGGTGGTGGGTATGCAAATATAAATGACTTTTTACCTTTAGCCTTTGCTCTTTCTTCTTAGTGACGCTTTGTGTGCGAGTCACGTGACCTATACGCAGAAACTTCCGCCAGGCGTCATTATGATGTCACGTGACTAATGTGCATATCCAAGCGTGTAGCCAAGCCACTCGCTTGAAATAAAGCACATGAAAATAACACTTTATTAAATTAAAATTAAAACCACAAGCACACATCATAAATGCATTTAAATATAGATATTAATTGTTTATTTACTTGTTTGACTTTCTGCAACAACTTACTATTTAGTTTTTAACATGTGCTTCCTTACCTTGTTTTGTTTGTTTTTACGTCCTTTTATCAGCCATGGTCATTTAAGGACATGCCCGGTTTTTGTGGTGTAGGAAAACCGGATTAACTGCATAAACACCGCCGACCTGCGGCCAGAACCCACAAGCCACTGGCGGTGGCAGATCATCGTAGACGGTCAGACGCCTTAACAACATGGCCAATGCGGACTCCATGTGCTCCCTTACAGGACTCACACAACTAAATCAGCCAATCAGCAAGTGTTTCATACGATTGTAATCCCTACCTCAAATTGTTCCGGTTCAATACAGTGCCTCCGAGTATTTGTTGACATATTTTACATTGAATGAAATCTAGATATTGTAGAAAAATGTATAGTTTTAGTAGATTTTAATATGTGATGGCGGATTGATATGGGTCAAACGTCAGGGGGTGTTCCCGTCCCACTTCACCGGTTTGGTTTGTAAACTTCCGGTTGTCAAAAGCAGACACATGTAGCGCTCTTATATGCCACTAATCTCAACAAAAATGCTTTTGAAGCCTTTGTCAGGTATGCATCTGTGAATCTAGACAGATGTCACTAGTGTTTAACTTAAAATATTAACGCTATTAGCTAAAATGCATAACTGTATTTCCATACAACTACACTTGTTTGATGCTTTGTGCTAAACAGAAGAGAGCAGTTGTGATATTGTTGACATTAAATGTGTACAATAACGAGTTATTCTGAAATTGTCGAAGTTATGTGTTATCAAAATGAGAACCAACTATGATATTGTTCAAGTTAGAAACAACCGCAGATTTCATACTAATATTGATTGAATTTGTTTAAAGCAGCGAAGACTGTAATTGACATATGTTTAAAATCTAAAAGAAATGAAACGAAAACCAGCAACTGAAGCCATATTGGTTTTAATACAATCAAATTTTTGTCAACAACCTATCTAGATTGGTCGGTGTATATTTTCAGGGCGGCGAATGTGACCCAGTGTTCAAAGAAAGATAGGTCGAATAAGCTTATAATGTTACATTGGGTATTTAAAATATGTTCTTTCGACGTTAAATAAGTTATAAAAACTTTTTTTTAAATGGCTCAAACTGTACGTCTGAACACCGGGGTTTGCTGGATAGTTTATTCTTTTCTTCCGTTTTTGCGCAAGGGTCAGAATGGTTAAACTTACGTTTTCCAGGAGAAATATGATATCAGTGTACAGACGATGTTCGTACTTCTACCTCCTGTATAGTCACGCAGGCTACATGTTCATGCGGAATAGTTTGAAAATATCAACTCCAAAAATTGCACCGCTCCACAAATCAAAGCTTTGTAACAAAAGAAGGCAACTGAATTGGTATTGCTGACGTTATTTGTTATGCAGAAACAGATGTATATCTGGGTTTTTGTTTTTTATGAAATGATTAATTGTCCGACAGATATATCACCATAATTGAAGTATATCTTATAATAAATTGGACAAGAGGCACAGGATTTAGTGTCTACCCCTGTTACTAGTTACACAGGTTATTGTGGCTTTGTAAATTTATCGTCATATATGTCTATTTCTCAAGCTGGGATAATAATCGCCCCGAAGGTCCGCAGTATGAAATACTCCACCATCTTTGATCCTTTCCAGCAAAAATACGGAAACAAAATGAGAGAATTGCTTTTCTTCCCCGAGTTGTTTTGAGACCTGTTTTGGGAGGTTGCCATTTTAGGAGCTTTAGGTAAACTGTGTTTGGGTTATTATGTTTGAGTTGATACTTTCGATGAAAACTATTTGTATATCTTTATAGTGGCGCCATCTGTGAAATCATGAGTGGAAGAAAATGAAAGATTTTGTTAAAATCACATCACCACAATACCATCGTTTTTTCCCCTTTTTAATTTAATTGCTAATAAAATGTTTCCAGGCACGACGCTATCTATAGTACTGGGCCTGGATATGACCATTTCCGAGATCGTGTCGACCTGTGTGGCGGTCGGCTATACCTTATTCGAGGGCCTCTATGCGGTGGCTTACGCTGACGTCATACAGCTCTTCTTCATTGCAGTTGGCTTGGTAGGGTTTTATTATGTGAATGTGTGTTTTGTACAAACAGATTTGCACTACCTTGATCATTTTTGAGTGTCGTGTGCAATCTGTAGGAATTTGTCTTTTATAATAGCCTTCTTCAGACCTAATAAAAGGGACCATGCCGAGTGGAGGAAATTACGTCAGTTTAATGGATGGCATAGGCAGTGTGTAAAATTCCTTATTCTAGTTCAGGTTCGGGAAAATGTGAAGGCCAAAATGAAACGATGTTTATGTGCAACATCTAATTGATGAAAATATTTCATATGTTCCTCGTAATCTTCAATAAATGGAGGTTTCCTAACGAGTTACGGAGTTACCCTTTTTTGGATGCTGTCTACAGCATTCATAGCGGTCCTCGCCAAGCCTGTACAAAACAGACTTTCTTCTTCCGCGGAAGATCTTTAAATGCTGTGTTGATTATTTCACGGTATGATTAATGCTTTAAAATGATGAAATAAACGATCCATTAATCAAAGAAAAAATGTAAAATTTCTTCAAAACAACAACAACAACACTTTATCTCCTTCCGCGCAAGATCTTTAGATAATGCGTTCATTATTTTATATGATCAATGGTATAATATGGTAAAATAAATCTGTATAAGACAAACAAATCAAAGAAAATATGTAAAGATCTTTAACAATGGCGTTTTCAATCAGTGAAAGTCCGAACTATATTTGGTTCAAATTACTACGCCTCGTATTCCAATACTCTAAAGTGTGTGTGTAAGTGTTTTCTCCCCTTGTACATCATTGCGTAGTTTCATGCTCGCGACTTGTTGAACTTTGTTTCAATGGAAAGGACCTAAGTGAAAGAGAATATTGACTTATACTAAAGTAGCCGTCAGCAGATGTGCCTAACGAGTTAATAGATAGCTTCCCAATGCGACAGCAGCTGTGCCTTACGTAATTGTAGATAGCTTCCCAATACAGTCTCTAGATAATGGCCCGATTAGTATAATACAAGTGCTTCGTGAATATAGCATATTGAACATCAAAACTTAAAACCGTATATACAGCTTATCCACATTAACCAGAAACTGAATTGTTATACAGGTCTTTAACCTTCGTTACGATATTCAGAGAAGGAGGGGTACACAAGGGATTACATAAGTCCGTGATTACTTTGATTCTGTAATTCTCGAGCAGTAAAATACCCAAGCACCCAATCATGGAAATACTACTTATTTTTCGGGGACCTGCATTCGCCTAACAAGCAAATTCAAGTGTTGGTTTCCATACAAGACCAGTCACAATAAAGCTTCCATATCAGATCAGTCACACTAAAGCTCCCATACAAGATCAGTCACAATAAAGCTTCCATACAGGATCAGTCACAATAAAGCTTCCATACAAGTGCAGTCACAAATATAGCTTCCATATAAGATCAGTCACAATAAAGCTTCCATATCAGATCAGTCACAATAAAGCTTCCATAGAAGATCAGTCACAATAAAGCTTCCATACAAGATCAGTCACAATAAGGCTTCCATACATGATCAGTCACAATAAAGCTTCCATACAAGATCAGTCACAAATATAGCTTCCATATAAGATCAGTCACAATAAAGCTTCCATATAAGATCAGTCATAATAAAGCTTCCATACAATATTAGTCACAATAAAGCTTCCATACAAGATCAGTCACAATAAAGCTTCCACATAAGATCAGTAACAATAAAGCTTCCAAACAAGATCAGTCACAACAAAGCTTCCATACAAGATCAGTCACAATAAAATAAAGCTTCCATACAATATGAGTCACAATAAAATAAAGCTTCCATACAATATCAGTCACAATAAAGCTTCCATACAAGAGCAGTCACAACAAAGCTTCCATACAAGATCAGGCACAATAAAGCTTCCATATAAGATCAGGCGCAATAAAATCAAGCTTCCATATAAGATCAGTCACAACAAAGCTTCCAAACAAGATCAGTCCCAACAAAGCTTCCATACAAGATCAGGCACAATAAAGCTTCCATATAAGATCAGTCATAATAAGGCTTCCATACAATATTAGTCACAATAAAGCTTCCATACAGGATCAGTCACAACAAAGCTTCCAAACAAGATCAGTCACAATAAAATAAAGCTTCAATACAATATGAGTCACAATAAAATAAAGCTTCCATACAAGATCAGTCACAATAAAGCTTCCATATACTATCAGTCAAAAAAAAAGCTTCCGTACAAATTCAGTCACAATAAAGCTTCCATACAAGATCAGTCACAATAAAGCTTCCATACAAGATCAAGCAAAATAAAGCTTCCATATAAGATCAGGCGCAATAAAATAAAGCTTCCATATAAGATCAGTCACAACAAAGCTTCCATACAAGATCAGTCACAATAAAATAAAGCTTCCATACAAGATCAGTCACAATAAAGCTTCCATACAATATCAGTCACAACAAAGCTTCCATACAATATCAGTCACAATAAAATAAAGCTTCCATACAGGACCAGTCACAATAAAGCTTCCATACAAGATCAGTCACAATAAAATAAAGCTTCCATACAAGATCAGTCACAATAAAGCTTCCATACAGGATCAGTCACAACAAAGCTTCCATACAAGATCAGTCACAAAAAAATAAAGCTTCCATACAATATCAGTCACAATAAAGCTTCCATACAAGATCAGTCACAATAAAGCTTCCATACAAGATCAGTCACAAATATAGCTTCCAAATAAGATCAGTCACAATAAAGCTTCCATACAATATCAGTCACAATAAAGCTTCCATACAATATCAGGCACAACAAAGCTTCCATACAATATCAGTCACAATAAAGCTTCCATACAAGATCAGTCACAAGTATAGCTTCCAAATAAGATCAGTCACAATAAAGCTTCCATACAATATCAGGCACAACAAAGCTTCCATACAATATCAGTCACAATAAAGCTTCCATACAATATCAGTCACAATAAAGCTTCCATACAATATCAGGCACAACAAAGCTTCCATACAATATCAGTCACAATAAAGCTTCCATACAATATCAGGCACAACAAAGCTTCCATACAATATCAGTCACAATAAAGCTTCCATACAAGATCAGTCACAACAAAGCTTCCATACAAGATCAGTCACAATAAATTAAAGCTTCCATACAAGATCAGTCCCAATAAAGCGTCCATATAAGATCAGTCACAATAAAGCTTCCATACAAGATCAGTCATAATAAGGCTTCCATACAATATTAGTCACAATAAAGCTTCCATACAAGATCAGTCATAATAAGGCTTCCATACAATATTAGTCACAATAAAGCTTCCATACAAGATCAGTCACAATAAAGCTTCCATACATGATCAGTCACAATAAAGCTTCCATACAAGATCAGTCACAAATAAAGCTTCCATATAAGATCAGTCACAAAAAAAGTTGGAATAGCTAGTTTCTTCCATGACTAAATAATTGGTTATTGTATCTTAAATTGTTAGTGACCCACATTCTTCGCTAGATTTGAGGGAGAAATCGTGAAGGCGCCGTTTCCTTTTGGATTTCTTTTTTACTTTCATAAGAAGTCAGTGTGCTTATATTGTTTCTGAACGCTAGAAGCATGGCTATTTGTGAATAGTTTTATGTGTCTTCAGGTGCTGGCGTTACCTTTTCCTATAATGAATCCTGCGGTGGATATGTCTCGTATCCAGGACACATGGACTGGCCACGTGGAACCAGAACTCATTGGACTGTATTGATACAGCATTAATGCTTATTATGGGGGGAATACCTTAGCAGATGAGTGAGAACTGAATAAGAGTACAAAGTGTTGAGTTTGGTAATCCAAGCTGTAGATGGTTGGAATTAACACAAAACAAAAAAACAGTGTATAACAGAAGTCATTCTGGTCCCATTAAAGCTCTAATAGACATAACCGAACGGTGAACTTACCTGAAAATGTTTAACATTTCATTACAATGTAAAATTGCCTTTCTTGCTCAAGAGGGGATAATTTGACTATTTTTCTGTTAACTTGGTTTCGTAGGCGCTGTACCAACGCTTGCTTGCCTGTAAGAGTCCAAAGATAGCCCGGTCCCCCTACTGCTATAGCCATACCTACCACATCACACTTATACAGTGCCGCGTTACCTATTTCACCGTGACAGTGCGTGTACCATGACATTATAAAGAATATCTCTGACAGTGTGACGGTTTAAAATTTAAAAAAAAACACAGCGACAGGATAGACAGGTACACCAGATGTTGCAACAAACGACGTGGCACCTATTAATTGCATATGTTTGAAACATCAGAAATAACAAGGACACCGAGACGGATACAGATAGGAGTCAGAAACAAACGTTTTTATCTTCAAGATATATGACGATACGCAGTTGAAACATGGCTGTGGATGTTCTCGGTTTGGTGGTTTTAGCGGTATTTTATGTTACTATTCTTATTATTGGTATTGTTGCTGGACGTAAGAGCACCAAATCCAACGATCCCGACGAACTGTTCATTGCCAATAGAAGCTTTGGTCTGTTTGTGGCCAGTTTTACCACAGCTGGTAAGTACTGCAACATTATTCGACAAACTGTATATCTTCCCCTTGGCCCCTGACAAGAGATAATAAGTTTGGTGTCGTAAAGCAATTATTGGTGTAAGAAATATTGATTTGTTTGACTTCTGCAATAACTTACTTCTTAGTGTTGTGTGTGTTTAACATCCTCTTATCAGCTATGACCATTTAAGGACGTGCCAGGTTTTGGTGTTGGAGGAAAACCGGAGTACCTGCAGAGAAAAACACCAACCGGCGAGGAGTACCTGGAGACCGTCCCATGTAGGCAACGAACCCGCGACTCACTTGTTGAGGACTAGTGATCGTAAACGGTCAGACGTCTTAACCACTTGGCAAATTCGGGCTCCGTGTGCTCCCTTGCGTCGTATTTCTAATAATTTATATAATGAATGTTTTGTATCAAT